TGTGTGTGTGTGTGTGTGTGTGTGTGTGTGTGTGTGTGTGTGTGTGTGAGAAAGAGAGAGATAGGTTATAAAAAAATCAATCGATATCACATAATTTAAAAGATTCTTTTTTGCGTACAATTTTGATAAATATTTTTTAGACTGAATTGATAGTATTAATACGTATAATGAAATAAACGAGGCTTTCAATTTTTTAAATAATTGTAAGTACGAATATATATATGTATATATATATATATTTTATTTGTGATAAAATATCTATTTTCATATTTTGTTATCATGATTGCAATGTACGTACGCAGGAATCGGGAAGGAAATAGCCCTTCGTCTCTCTAAATATAAGGGACAAGTGTTTGCACTCTCGAGAACAAAGGAGAATTTAAATAGTTTAGTAGCGATTGATCCGAAGATTCAACCTATTTGCGTCGATCTTCGCGACTGGGATGCGACTAGAAAGGCTGTTCAAAGTATCCTGCCAATCGATCTATTGGTCAACAATGCTGCTGTCGCGCGTCTTTCACCATTTTTGGATGCTACACCCAAGGAATTTGACTTAATTTTCGATGTAAACGTGAAAGCTGTATTCAATGTGTCCCAAATTATAGTCGAAAACATGATCGAACGCAAACACGGTGGCAGTATCGTAAATGTATCATCACAAGCTGCTCAGGCGGCATTGAAGGATCACACCGTTTATTGCATGTCGAAGGCAGCTCTTGACATGTTGACAAAGTAAGATATATAATTATTAATATCCCCGTAATCCATACAAACTTGATACCGTTTAACTGGTATGTTAGGCAATTAGCAAAGATCAGAAATTTAGTATGAATTAATGGATAGATGTAAAAACACAGGCCGTTGAAAAAAAGAGAAAGATATAAAAGAATTCAATTAAATTTTCCATATTGATAAATTTGATGTCGATTTTGACGTTTTTTTAATTTGGAAAAGTTAATTCAATGAAAATTTTGTTAAAATAAAATGTAGAATAATATGATATATGTACTACTTATTTTTATCTATTAAGTTTTTTCAATTCTGAATTTTTATTTTCAGTCTTTTGTTATTTAACTTTGTATTGACTATCCAGCATTTTCGAAAAAAGTTGATTTTAAATTCATCGAAGATGTGTTTGACATTTTTTGGAATATCTTTGTTTCGCATTTTGTGATATTTTTAGGACGATGGCCCTCGAAGTGGGACCGCACAATATAAGAGTCAATAGTGTCGGTCCTACAGTCGTGATGACGGAAATGGGAAAATTGGGTTGGAGCGATCCGCAGAAAGCACAAAGTATGATCAACAAAATTCCTCTCGGTCGATTCGCTGGTACGTCACATGGATATTTTTAATCGAAAGAGATTTAAGACGTTAAAGATAATTTAATTTAATTCATTACTTTTTCCATCGAATTAATATACGTATGAGATAAATTTTATCCGTATGAATAATTCGTAAATCTTACTCTCTATATATCATACGGGGTCTACAATAGAAGTCGTAGCGGTCATAGGATCTTAAGTTGTAGAAAATTGACCAATCATAATCAATTATTCTTCTCATATTTGACTGTGATTGGTTAATTTTCTACGATTTAAGACCCTACGACCGTTACGACTTCTATTGTAGACCCCGTCTTAATGTTAATTCGTAATTCGTTTGTCATTCGTAATCTATAATAGCAATATTCACATAATTTAAATCTGTAACTGTAATGTACAAATCTGTAGAATGAATTTTGAAATAATATCCCTGGCGGAAAAAAATTTTTACGAAAAAGTACAGAAAAACTACATAAATTGAGACAAGATCTTAGAAATTCTTAATTTTTCGTAGATATTCGTAGTTGGACGTAGAGTGAGGTTTGTATGTCTTAGAAAATTCTTAAGCATCGTCTACAATGAACAGTAGCAGTAGAGGCTGTAGACACGTCGGGAGTAAGAGTTGATTTATAATAGACCGTAATCTGTTAACTTTTTCCATATCAACACAAGGTGTTGACATGCTGATATACGACCGATCGGTAGTAAAAAGAATGTAAATTATAAATAATCAGTAACTGATAGCTGGCATTTAATATTATGTAATATTTTTGACAAAGTAAAAATACTCAAATTAACAATTTAAAAAACAATTTATATTTATAACTTATTAATACATAATTAATTGTAGATTTAATTAATCAAAAGTAGTTACATACATATAACGTATAACTGGTAGTTATACAGGGTCTGGCCAAATAATATGTAAAAGCGGGCACGACGTGATTCCTTATAAAAAAGTAAAAAAAAATATATAGAATAAGATTTTTCGATTTTCTGCTTAGTTTTCGAGAAAATCGAGTTTGAAAATCCGCTGCGTACGTATGCTGTTATGGCTAAGCTACGGTTCGTCGAGCGACATATAACGCGTATATTGTTTATAAATAACGCTCTACGACCTACAATGTTGAACATTCATATCAGTTTCATTCAAATATCACGACGATGAGTTGTACGAACAGGGAGTGCTTCGATATGATCCAGGCTTTGAGAGTCTAATGATAAAGCAGTGTCGCTGCGCTTGGCTTAACGCTGAAACACTACCGTGTTTCCAGATTTATCCGCCGTTGTTCGCTACTGCGTAGAGTAATATCTTAATCGGCGTGTTCGGGATCGAAGAACGATTCAACAGGTGGAGCGAAGTCTTAATATTGTAATTGATAAAATAAAATTTTGTTCACTAAAAATTTTCTTTATGCTTTTCCTTAAATAGCTTTTAGATTCCGTGTAAAGCGGGGAGCACAGACTTTTGCATAACGCATAACATGTAATGCATAAGAAATTCAATCAATCAGAATTCTTTATTTCATGGAAAGGAAGGAAACGGAGGGCTTTGATTGGTACATTTTCTTATGCATTACGTGTTATGCGTTATGCAAGAGTCTGTGCTCCCCGCTTAAACATTGTTTATAAATACTATACGCGTTATACGTCGCTCAACGAACCGTAGCTTAACCGTAATAGCATACGTATGCAACGAATTTTCAAACTCGATTTTCTCGAAAACTAAGCAGAAAATCGAAAAATTTTATTGTATATATTAGGTGTACAAAAAAGTTCTGAACTTTAGATTTCATACAACCGAAATAACAATTTAAATTATATATATCTTCCCGCCCTTTTGCGGTTTTAAAGCGTTAACATTTGGCCTTCTAAAATGCCATACGGTTTGGCGTTTGATACACATAACCTCAAAAATCAGTAGTGTTCACGATGGCAATAACAAAAGAGCATATTCGATTTTCCGTCCACTTCGCGTTTCATCTGAAAAAAATGCTGCTGAAGCCACTGCAATGATTTGTGCTGCATATGGAGAGAACGCTGTAAGTCATGCTACATGTAAAAGATGGTATCAAAAGTTTCGTCAAGGAGATTTCAGTCTTAAAGATGAATCGCGTGCTGGACGCCCTGAAAAGATTGAAACGGACGAATTGAAAGCACTACTGGATATAAACTCTGCGCAAACTGAAAAGGAGCTTGCAGAACAGCTTAGCGTTACGCAGCAAGCCATTTCCGTACGATTACGTACGATGGGAAAGGTTCAGAAGGAAGGCAGATGGGTTCCGCATGAATTGTCCGAAGACAACAAAAATCGACGGCGTGACACTGCACTCACTTTGCTTTCAAAGTTCTGGAAAAAAGATTTTCTGCACAAAATCATTACAGGCGATGAAAAGTGGATTCTTTATGATAACCCTAAACGTAGAAAATCATGGGTTGATCCTGGTCAACCTT